ACACCCAAGCCGTTGTAGCACCTGCGTAGGAAAGCTTGTCTCTGGTGACCAGAACTTCGATGCTGGTCTGTTTGTCGGCTTGGGAGGCTGTCTGCAAATCCTGCTTGACCAACAGGTCGTACAGTGCTTTAGCATCAACCACCAACCGTGGTGGATGCTTCAATTTTGGGGTCTTGCTGTCCTCGAGCGCCAGGAAGGGTGACCAAATCAACTTCCAAAATACCGAAGTGTACAGCAATGCGTCCGAAGCTTCGGATGCTGCTTGACTTTCAGCTGCCAAGCTCGACCTCGCCACGCGGGGCAACTTCCAGGAGCGCCAATCGATCAAATGGTACTGACCTTCTTGGCCTTGAGTGACTCCATGGTTGGTCATCATGATGAGATGACCCCCCTGCGATGTGAGATCGGCTCTCGATGCAAAGGCTGCATCGCCGTAGGCAACAAACGTCAAATCTGTGCAGCTACCGAGTTGCTCAAATTTCAAACCAACATCATTGTACTGATTTGCAAACCTCAAACACTTGTTTGCTTCTTGCAATGTACCAACTATTGCTTTGCTCACCATGCCTGCTAGCTGACTTGTCATTGCTTGCAGGCGCGGGCTGCTCTGTATTGAAGGCCATTGTAGTCCTCCAACCATTCCGCGAAGCATAGTGCGCTGCTTCTCAGACACTGTCTGCTCAGTTGGAGCCTTCTCAAATGAAATGGGCTTTTGCTTCTCCAGGTAAGTGGTGTGTTTCACCTAATAGTGATGCTCATTGATCCGGTGGATCTTGGCTCCACAGTAGTCCATGTCACAGTTCTCCTCCCATGTCCTGAAGTTGAAGGTCTTCTTCAGGCATTGACTAAACTTTTGGAAGGAGGGGCATTCCATGTTGCCGGTGTCCAGGACGTCGTCCACGTGAAGGCCGAATAGGCCGGAGAGTGGAGCATGCCGAACTGTGTTGCCATTGTCGTCTGTCTGGCTGGTCCAGTGGTCTTCTGGTGCATCATGGTCGTGGACCAGAAAGAGACAGGGATCCAGGGCGTGGACTACTGCTCCCAATTTGGTGATCCGCTCACGAGCTTCGGTGTACCAAGCTCTTGGTGCGTCACACAAACCATACATGGGCTTCCGAAGCTGCATCAACGATGCGCTGTCGTGGTGCTTGTCCATGCCGAGCATTCGGCGGGCGTAGCTGGAAGCTGAATCCACAGTGTTCTGTGGGCGGGGTGCTCTTTGCCCTGCAGGAGAGCCGTGCTGACGTCTGCACTAAAGGTGGCCCAGCCGGTATTGGCTGCGATGCTCAGGATGAAATTTCTTCCCATGCGGGAAAGCGTGGGTGAGTCCGCGCTAAGGGCTCCAGACAAGGCGTCTGGGTCTCTGAAGCCCTGGGTGATGAGGTGAGCTTTCGCCCTTGGTTCACCGTTTGGCCACTTTGACCATTTGAGGATGAAGTGGGCCTTGAGGATGCGATCAGCCGGGATCGTGCCATCGTTTTGCACCATCTCCCAAACATCATTTTGAAAAAAAAACAATCTCCTTCCGCTTGGCTTCCACGAATGTCAATCGATCTGCCAGGCTCATGTATCGTTCACTGAGCTGGTCTTTTCTTGCCTTGGCCTTGGGGCCGGGCGCTTTGGTGTTTGTTTTGTCTGTGGTCTCTAGGACCTGTTCTGGTGTTGTTGCTCGATGTAGGAGGCGTGTCCTCCGCTGATGTTATAGAACATGTCCATCGCCAGTCGGCGGTATGCTGGAAGGATCTTGAAGATCGTCTGGCCTGTCCAGGTGTGTGGTGTTGTTCTGTCCTTTTGTTGTTTCCAGCGATCATAGGTCTCCTTGTGGCCGGCTGCTCTGGTGACTCGGTCTTTGCTTAAGTAGTGCAGTGGTAGCGGACAGCCATTGGACTGATCACTTGGGTCAAATAAGGTGTCTCGTGGTACATAATGTTTCCGGATGAGCTTGTTGTGGTGCATGGTCCATTCGTCCCTGGCGCTGGTTGCGGCATTGGCGCTGGGCGCTGTGAGCTGGCTGCGCGCAGGGCGCCGGTGCTGGCAGCGCGCGTGGTGGAGACAGGGCGCTGGTGCTGGGCACCGGCGCTGGCTGTGGTCTTGGCGCTGGGCGCTGGGAGCTGGCTGTGTGCGTGGTGGAGACGCCGGGGAAACGAGCGCCGGCGCTAGGCGCTGGCTGCGCGGGCGGTGAAGACAGGGCGCTGTGCCGGGCGCTGGCGCTGGGTGCTGTGAGCTGGCTGCGCGCGTGGTGGAAACGGCAATTTTTCTACAGCTTCGCGATCGACGCGCACGATCCTACGAAAGGGTCCCGCGGGAAATGGCAAAATTGCAACTTTACTACAGTTTTGTGCGATCAACACGCACGATCCTATGTAAAACACACGGTTTCGCCAGCATCTTCTGGACCAGGGCGCCATCAAGACACTTAGAAAGTTTTCCAAAAGTTTTGGCTAGAAAGTTTTCCAAAGTTTTGAATACCTTTGCTATATTTTCAAATGTAACTCAAGTCAAATCAAGTTAGTTTTCTCAAATTAGTTCTGTCAAGCAAAGCAAATCAAGTAGGTCAAATCAAGTAAATCAAGTCAAGTAAACCTTGTCACGCAAGTCAAATCAAGTAGGTCGTCAACTCAAGGAAGCCAAGACATGCAAAAAGAAGTCACGCTAGATCAGGATACGCTAGATGTTGACATATTACTATAGTCAAGTAAATCAAGCCAAGCAAGTCAAGACATGCAAGATCAGGATATGCTGGATGTTGACACATTACTATAGTCAGGTAATAAACCAAATCAAGCAAGTCAAGACACGCAAGAAGAAGTCACGCTAGATCAAGATGTTAGATGTTGATATGCTAGTATGCGCGGAGCTCCTATGAAATGCCCTTCGCCAAGTCTTACGGGAACGCGATGGAATTTCGCGACGACGGTTCTGACTCCCCACGCCCACCCACTCCCACCAGAAGAAAATGTAAATCTGGAAAATTCTGCAACATGCGACGCGCAACATCACATAATGATGAAAATACCCAAAAACCCACAGGCGACCTACGGCGTTCTCAGAAACTAGTTTGGACAGGCTCAGGGACGTCACTTACTGGCATACTTCGGTTTGCGAAGGCACTGCGCTCTTGAATTGGCGACGATGGAATCTGCAAAAACCATGGTTGGACTCTGGCCCAGATGGTTTTTGGTTGGGCCCACCTGCCAGCTGACTGATTTGCATTGCTACGCGTGGGTGTTTTTGCTATCTAGAATCTACGCTAATGTAATCTTTTTCATGCGGGCAGTTGGAAGCAAGGCCTGTGCCTCCTTTGGCAGCTCTGCAGCTGCGTCGCATGAATCATGAAGCCGAAGACGGAGATGAAGTCGACCCGTTGTCCTGGTAGACACTCAAACCATTGAAATGGTCGTTTTGCGCAGCCTTTGCGGCCGAAATCGCTAAATTTGCCCGCATTTCGCACGAGACTTCCTCCAGAAGTCATATGTCAGTCTCTAAAATGAGCATTTCATACGAGATTTCCTCCAGAAGTCAAGCTGGAAGCCCCATGGGAGCCCACACATCAAGCAGCCCTGCAAGCAATTTCGCGATTCCAGCCCCTCCAAAATACGTCCGCTCACACGCTAATCCCAATGTCACAGCAACGCTCACCTCCACCACAACTCGCAACCTCACAATTCCCTGTGCCTACCACAAAAATTTACGTGTCCACACGTCTAACACGCGCAAAGTACTGCGCCTACCACGAAATGTGACCCCCGCCACACCTCGCAACCTCACAATTCCCTGCGCCTGCCACGAAAATCGCACTTCCACACCTCAAAACCCGCACAAAGTACTGTGCCTGCCACGCAAAATGACAATATTATATCATATAAGCTTCAACAAAATCTGCACCACACCACACGTTTGGAATGATTTCGATACGTCCTAAACACACCCCCATCCACCAAAATCGCCATTTGAGCTGAAACTTGTCACGAAAACACAGCTTCGGCGCAATCCCAATGTCACAGCCCCATCGACCACCCCAAAAACATTACCCTCCAAACGCCAGTCCCAATGTGACCACGCAGAAAACTGCGGATATCATCCTCCACGCTTCAACACATTACGTTTCCATACGTTTCTTCGCTATTTCACACGTGTCACAAAGCTTCCACGCAAACCCTCCGAAAAGCTTGCCCAATGGCAGCGGCACCGCGAATACACGCGATAACGAGTCGCGAACAAAAATCTACCCCCAGACCCCCTGGAGTTAAATAAAAACCCTTCGCTACGCATTCGGGAAAAATACGCACATAATTCCAACACCCTGCAACGGCACCAACATCCAAGCTACGAACATCCAAATTACCAAAGGTAAACCAAATAGAATAACTCCAAAGAATTCATTAAAAATAATAACATCACATATATTTAGAGCCAATAAAATCGAATATCACCAAAAAAGAAAATTATAATTACTTCCGAACATAAAAGAGAACAATTTTTTTATTACAATTTATAAAAAAAGAAATTTCAATACAATTCGTTAGAATTAAAAGCATTATATATCCATATGCGACCAATATTTTCTAAATAATTTCTACCAAAACAAAAAACCAAATTTTTCACAAAATTATATATCGAATAAAATCACAAACGTCAAAATTGCCCAAAAAATTGCATATTACAATACATCATTGTTTCCAATTATTCTAAATAATTATCCCGAACAATTATCCCGAAAATCGACAAACATTTAAAATTAATATTTTTTTCAAACATACAAACATATAAAACGTTTACGGCCACGATTACCTTCGGCGCGCGTAATTACGAATTACAAAATGCTATTACCATTACCATTTATATTTTAATAACTATATTTACATAATTAATTCTCCTAAAATATATTATATATAAATATACAATTATATTTGATAATATGAATTTATAATTTCTGTGTAATTATATAATTCATAAATTTATGTTTTAATGATATAAAAATTTAGTCAATATGTCAGGATTCAACAATATTTCTGTAAATAAAATCTTGACCTGGGTTTAAAAGGCCTTTTGTAGAAATGAGATAAAAGCCGAAAACCCTGCCTTGGGAAATTTGGATCGAAATTGAAGTAGCAGGGCGATGATATTCGCGGAAGGAGTAGGATGAACCTGCAAATCATGAAAGTGCACAGAATGGCTTTGTACATTTGTTTTTTTAGGTTGGAGGCCGTCGCTACTGCAGGCCATCACTCTTAGGTAAAAACATGACTGTAATCATCAGAAGTGCACAGAATTATTTGGCCTTCTGAGACAGCATGATCTGGAGGCAACCGTCCTGGGCCTGAGCACTTGTTCAAGTCACACTGCGTGCAATCACCACAGAACCCCTTCACTGTTCAAGTAACGGCCTGACTTTCTTCGCCATGGTCTGAGAGAAGTTTTGCACCTCGCAACTGCTGAGCAATGAATGTTGGAGGTCGTAAGCTCCCAAATCCAAGCCCGCAACACACACTCTCAAGCGCAGACTGCATAACCTGCAACTGCAACGGCTTAGGGCTGCTCGACTGAAGTTAATCGCTTCAAGGGCCAAAACCCACCTTGCCATCTGGCGAGGCAGCTGGAAATACTTCCACAAACCGCTTCTTCGCCTGGTTGTTTTGCGGTTTTGTCGCACGTCAAAGTTGCACTCCTAGTAGCGATGGCCTCCAACCCAATAGCATCCTTTAAGTCTTTTACAGAGCCCAACACATGTTGGATGTCCCCTGAGCCCAAAGCCGAAGCGCCATCTTCTTCCTCAAAAAATAACCGATTAATATTGAATATGTGCGACAAAAGCAGCGTGTTCAAGCAACATTTAATGGTATTGAATGGCCCTGCCATGCTCATGTCAATCCCTCATAAAGTGACTGACTAGTTGGTCGGAAAAATGTCTGCGTTTCACTACAACCTTGTTTAAGCACAACTTTTGGTCAGATATGTTCAAATCATGCATAACCGTACCAGCCAGCAAAACTATACATGACCAAACTTGTAAGTTGCTTCATGAATGCAAGTTACATCCTAAAAGCGCACCTTCCTTTTCCGGCGTAGGCTCCGCAAAGCCACTAGGGTACAGGCGCTCTTGTCGCTGCGTGTTACCATGAAAGGAGCCTTTGAGTCACCAAGCAGCAAATTACCACAAGGAAGTCGTGTTGGCACATGAACGAGGCTTCTGCCAAACCCGCGATCGCAATCTCCGCGATAACCAAAGTCTTGGACAACTGAGAAGAAGCCTCACTGTCCGAAGGAGCACAATATGCCATAATTTGTCTGACAGGGTTGACCAGCTGTCCCGAGCAGAAGACTCTCGAATTCTTCAAGCACTTGGACATGAAAGACCAGCTGGGCCTTAGCAAAATACTAAAAGCGATGGCCTCCACCCTAGTAGCGATGGCCTCCAACCTAATAGCAACGGCCTCCAACGTAGTAGCATCATGTAGTTGAAAAACTTTAAGCGGTTTCAAAAAATATCAAGAGGACAATGAATGGTCGTGCTTAGAGATGCACTGGTGTAGTAACAAGGTGTAGTGACGGTAGTGACCTCTAAGACAACACACCTGCCTGAAAGTGCTGTTAGAAGTCATTATATATATATATATATAGTGTGCTTTCAGAAAACACACACAGACTATGTCAAAGCACTTCAAACACGCTATGTCTCCCAAGAACTTGACGTACTGAATTGGAGCTTCTTGAGAATGAACCTGCTCTGGCATCACACAAACTGGCATTGAACTATAGCGCTATACCGGCTATACCCACAATGCAAACCTAGAAGCACAATAATTTGACCTGAAACTCATCTCACCTGCAAACCAACCTTGTTAGCTGTTTTTCCGTTCCAGACACTTGGGTTCAATCATTGGTTTCACGGCTTCACAAGGTTTGCGGCTTCGTGGGTTTCCACTGCTCCGGAATCGAATTCTTTCAGTGCCGCAACGTGGTCAACATGTCGCACAACGACTCTTCGGTCCAAGGGCCGAGAGAGCAGTAGGCTTAATCAAGTGCTACGCTACTAGGGGCTCCTGGCATCGCTACTAGGAGCAAGGACGCTACTACAAGTAAGCTATTAAGTAGGTAACGCTACTAGTAAAGATCAGGCTTCTTCGAAGCCCTCATTTGGTTCCTGGATGTTTAAGGAAGCATGTAAGAAAAAGATGATGTTCTTCTCCTGTTGGAAAGCGCATGGAGCGTTCAAGTTCCTCTATGGGTCCCAAATGGTCCAAAGGGCCGCAGTGCTCAAAGCCTTTGTCTAAATCCCATTCAGTTTGTTCTTTTTCTCGCCCGCTGAATAAAAGCAGGTCAGGCTGAGCTCATGGCTTCAGCCCTTGCGTTTGCAAGTCCAAAAGACCCGACTGGATCAGGAACTCCAGGATCTGTCATTCAGTTACTTTCCCAAACTCGGAAACTTTGAGGACTCAATTTGGACAAGAACGCTACTAGGGGCTCCTGGCAACGCTACTAGGAGCAAAGGACTACTAGGAACATTATAAACCATATTAAAGACACAGGGTCGGCGCAAAACGAGTGCCTTAGGGTCCGGGTCTGGGATGTCAGATGGAAAAGAAGGCCTCGTGGTTGCACAGATCACAGTGTGCCGTTGCTACTAGGTTGGAGCCATCGCTATTAGGTGAGACGGGAGGGATTGTTGGATTGTCGTCTTTCTAATGCATTTGTGTTGGTGTAAGTCTCAGCTTGATGTTCCAAACACAAGTCACAAAAAAAGGCCGTGTGTTCCAAAATGCAGCTCTAACTTGTTGAAAGTCTGAAAATCAGTTGGCTGGGCAACGAGGCGTGAAAAGCTGGCTCAGTTGCAAAGCTACAGCTTCAAGCCGTGCATCCAAGACCTGTTCAAGAGTCTCCTGGAGCAAAATTCCCAAACTCCAAGGGATTACGAAGGAACTTGACGGCGAAAATCAGCTTTCATAAAAACACCTGCTATTCTCAGGGCTCCTGCTCTGGAGAGGGATGGCCTTTCATGAAATCGAAACGTTCCGTCTGCGACTCCAACTGACAAGGCGCACTAGTCGTGCAATGAAACAAGTAGAACAACATGAACTATTGCAAACCGATAGCGATGGCCTCCAACCTACCAGCGACCTTTATAGATATACAGTGTACAGTGTACAGTATATTGCAAAGAATCAAAGTCCCTCAATACAGGAACTGACTTGTCAGGAAGAATCAAAGGTTCTCGATCACCTGGCCATGATTCCTTGAGTTTAGGTCCACAAAATGCGCACGGACAGCCAATAGGACTTCTCACTGGTGGCGGAGCAGGAGATTGAAGTGTCAACATTGACATGCAAAATGCATCGAAATGCCATAGGACCTTGTGTGGCATTTGGTCGGCACTTGCAATGGCGATCAAGTTGGAGCGATGGCCTCCACCCTAGTAGCGATGGCCTCCAACCTACTAGCAAGAAAGTGAAATACAAGGCATTGCATTCTGACATTACAATTACTGGCCTGAACAAACGGAACAGTAAAATTGCAGTCAGCCTGGCCGTCAAAACTAGTGCAAGAAGGCGGCACAGCTGTTCACTCAGAGCAGCCCAAGCAGCCGCTTAAATCTGCATTTTTTCGGTTTCGAAGCAGCGTGGTACAACGCGGCACACCAAACAGTGACAAGAAGGCATTGACTGTGAAGGCGTGGGAACCGGAAAGGCTGCAGAGTTTCACCGAAAGAAACTGGAACAAAGGCTGGCGGGCTGAGATCACAGCATTCTTGTCCTAGAGTCACGTTATCACACAGAGATGGAGATGTTGGACTTTATGGAAAATTCGAAGGTGTATCTAGTTACAATAAGAACTTGAAGTTTTTGCCTGTGAGTTCGCCTATGAATCTAGGATTGCAAAAGGACGCAAATGCAGTTTTTCCGTAACAGACAATCAACATTCCTCTCATGGCAATTTGGGATTCAGAGTCATTGGTGTGGAGACAAACAAAGCCTGTCCACAGGAAGGTTCACAGGTCGGCAGAAAGGCGCCTCAGAAGAGAGAGAGAGAGAGGGATACCTTTGGTGTGAAGGAATGAGGAGAGAAGAAGAGACCTCCCCCTAGTAGCGTCCTCTTGCTCCTAGTAGCGATGGCCTCCAACCGACTTGCGATGGCCTCCACCAAATAGCGTCCTTGCCACTAGTAGCTTCTTGCTCCTAGTAGTAAGGCCAGGAGCTACTAGTAGCGTCCTTTGCTCCTAGTAGCGATGCCCTTTGTTACTAGTAGCTTCTTGCCCTTTGTTCTAGGTCCAGATTGCATATGTGGGAGGTACAGCGCACATTCACACTATATGGCTTACTAAGCGTGGGTGGTTTGTCGTCTTGGATCCTTTGGCATGAACAGCATTGCTTACTGATCAGTGACATCGTTTGGGGAGGATGCCCCTGGCTCGAGAGTGCAAGAGACCAGGAAACAAAGTATGGAGAGTGAGAGAAGATAGGAGTGTCTCATGAACACAACTTTGATGAGCAATTTGTTCCCTTGTGCCTCGAGAAGATGCAAAACGTCAGCAACCAATGAAATAAACAAAGTTTGCGAAAGGGACTATTCTTGGGAGGGTGTGTGCAAGCCACGTTGTTGATATTTACACCAGCTTTGACCCCGTTTTGCCATGACAGCCACCGAAAACAGAGAGAATCATGCGCGTGACAGGATCCAATTCATTGAAAGCCAAGAGAACCCCAACAACTAGCTATTTGGAGAACAAAGCTGCTGCACTCAAGTCCGCTCAAGTCCAAGCCGATTTTGATAACAAGTCTGGCACAAAGAAGAAGAATTCCAAACAGTCCTAAATCCACTTGCGCGAATCAAGCACAAAAGGCCAGGCATGAGAGCTCACCATGTCTCCGTCAAGCTGAGAATGTTGCCAATCGGACAAACGAGGAGGCACGCCAATATGATCGGCTGCTGTGTCACGGACTTTGTCGGATGGTCAACAAGAGAGCAAAACGAAGTGGAATCAAACGAAGTGGAGCTACGCACAGCCTGGCACAACAGGCAACACGAAAAGGATACCCAGTAAAACAAAAATATGTTTTTCTCTGGAAAGGGCTCATGCTGCAGCGGAAACTCTACCCCAAAATCAAAGAAGAGTTTGCTTTCAAGAAGCAACTTTTGGGGGGGCACAACAACTTTTGTGAATGTGACGAATGAAAAATATCACACATGATCCTTGCAAATCGGCTTCAGATTTAAAATTGCTGGCCATGATTGTCCATATGTAGACACGACATGAAAAACTGAGCAAACGCGTTTAGTTTCAAACCTGTGCCCTTTCTGCTTGCCACAGCATTTTTACAAAGGGTGCTAGGAGAGCGGCACATGGTATAGCACTCCAGCAAACGGGTCAAGCCCTGAGCAAGCAACTTGTCGAATAGACTTAGACTTAATCCATAATTCATCCCTCGAAGTATATATAATAGAAAAGAAAACGTGTTTGGGTTGTGCTGGGAAACTACAACCACAATATGGAATGATGAAGGGGAAAGAGAAGCAAACTTGACCGTGTGTTGGATCAAATAATATCCAAACAAACTCAAATTGCATTGTTCTCGCGAAACCAATATACTGAACGCCGCCTTCAAGGAGAAGTCATTCTTTTTGTTGCATGCCTCCACCTAGGCCAAACATCCATGGCGCACACGTCCATTCCAGTCTTCCTTCCTTCCTTCCTTGTTTGCTTGCTTCCTTCCTTCCTCCCTCCCTCCCTCCCTCCCTCGTTCCACTTCCTCAAAACCTGATTCACTTTCTCAACAAAACGACCCGGAATGAAGGAAAACAAATGGCCAGAGTGCAATCAAGTCAGCTGAGAGTTGCGCCAGAATGGCCTGCCATAGCTCCAACTTCTTCAGTTGAAAAATGTGATACTCGATTTTGCACTCAGGCGCAGGTGTTGGTCAGAAGAGCCCATACACTTGCCCAAACAAACACTCAATGGGGCAAAAAGCGTCAACACAAAACTGCATGGCAAGATTGGCAGCAACCAAGGCCTGTTTGATTTCCTTGTTGTTCATCAACATGGAGTTGTACCTCCATGACCAAGAACAGCATCAAATGAAAAAAACAGTAATTGTATTAATGTGTTTTCAGAGTATCAAAGAACTGACACAAAGTAAGAACGCAACATGCTTTGACATCACACACCAACATAGATCGTGGAACCTGCGGAACGTTGCCAACTTTGACAGAAAATGTGTAAATAAAGTTGAAAAATGACGTCATTGGAGTATTCTTCAAAAAGGTTTCACATTTGAAGAATCTCCGTTTTCGCATTTTGACCCACAACGACCCGGAGATTGGGAGCACGCAGAAGCACACCGCCAAAGTGCCAAGGGCTTCAAAGCTGATACTCCCGACTTGATGATGTATTTCCTCGCTACTAGTAACAAAGGCATCGCCGCATCGCTATTAGGAGCAAGTGCATCGCTATTAGTAACAAAAAACTACTAGGTTGGAGGCCATCGCTACCAGTAACAAGAAGCTGCTAATAAATGGATACTGATGTGTTCCCTCAAGGGCAAGCCGCGCTGAAAAATGTTCTCAGTTCGCCGACTAAGGCCCGCTCGCAGCTTCATGCATGAACGAAACATTCCTGTATTGAACCTGAAGAAGAACTTTGTAGTCCAACATCAACTGAAACACTCGCATGGCAGGAGCATCAACAAACATGTCAGGTCCAGACACTTGCAAAGCCCCAAACCACCTGCGTCAAACCTGGGCATGGCAGCAAGCGCTCCACCACCCACTCAAAGAATTTTCTTTTGCCTTCTTCGGCTAGCGCTTGCCTACAGTGGTTTATAGTCTTGTTATTGCCCAGAGGTCTGTGCCTCCGCTCACTCGCTACATGCTACGCAACCAGAAGTGCTGCCCTTGCAAGAACTTCGGCGTCGCGTACAACGCGACCGCGCGCGTGAACAGCTCAGCCCTCGCCAGCCTTGGACTGCATTGCGCAATACTGAAAAACTCCTGTTTTGATTGGGCAAGGACGCTACTAGGAGCAAAGGGCATCGCTACTAGGAGCAACGACGCTACAGGAGCAAAGGGCATTTAGAAAGCAAGTTAATTGATCGCCTGGCGCTCACGCTGGGGAGCAATGCAGAGCACAGGAGCAGCTCCAATGGAAGTTGACTACATTGAAGCAATGGGAACAAGAAAAGGCAACAAACGCAAGAGTAGAGGCGAACCAGGAGCAAGAAGGCTACTAGGGGCTCCTGGCATCGCTACTAGGAGCAAGGACGCTATTAGGGGCTCCTGGCCTTACTACTAGGAGCGAGAGGGCTACTAGGAGCTCCTGTCTCTCCAACATGCAGCTACAGTTGACCACCAAAAATGGTCCGGGAGTATCGAAGTCTTCCTGTCTACAACCGTGCATTCTGCTGGCTGCCTTTCTTGCTGCAATGCAATGGCCGTCAGTCTTTGAAGAAACACGGTGCATCGATGCGTCGTGCCAAGCTCTCCCCAACTAACCTCGTAGGTGGGCTGCATCCTTGAGACAACCTAAATCCTGACATCCATCTTTCAGGGTATCTTTACTCCGCGTTGTCCTGCTCCTCGCAATAACCTGAGCGCAAAAGCGTTCTCAAGTCTCAAGCTGGCACTGAACCGCCAAGCTCTCTTTCCTGTCAACACCTCATTTTCACCAGCAACACACCTGCTGTCCATGTCACGTCGCGTCTGCCACTCAACTCAACAATGCGTTGCACACGCGCGGCTGTCAACGCACGATCCACCACCACAAAGCTGCCAATCCTCTCACAGGTTTCGAACCCATGCTGCTTCCACTCTCATACTGGTTGGGGTGTCAAAGCGCTCGTAGCTCCACGTTGGGTCGTGAAGCGAGTGGTGTTCGGTCTTCTGCCGTCATGTAACATATGGCTCAATGTTTCTACTAGCGTGGCACTTGTTACTACTAGTAAGGCACCTGTTACTACTAGTAAGGCACCTAGTGATGTGGGATGCTTTGTGCGTGCACCTTGGATTCAGAGGTTGTCTTCGGACATGTAAAATGCAGGCGGATCAGGCTTCCCATAACTGATCCAATGAAGCTAGGTCAACGGAAGGGAAGTTTCTTCTGATGCAGAGCGATTCTCTCGTCTCGCCAAATCACAGGAGGCCTTCCACTCTTTTGGAAAGTTCTTTGGAAGTGACTCCGCTGCACTACTTACTGGTAGATCTCCGCTTTCTACTTAGGTCCGTCAGGACTTGCGGCCATTCCGAACGTACGTACGGTACACCAGTACACCAATCTCCAGTGTGTTTGTGGGTGTGAGACACAAAGGTGGCAAGTGTTCACCATGCAATAGCAGCACATCTCATCCCAGGTAGCATCATTGCCCTGGGGAGGGCACCGTTGCCATCACAAAATCTTTGAGCCACTATACAACTGTCGAATGAAAGGTGGCGTTGCACTGTGTCATCCTTTTGCAGGGATCATGCTGCATATTGACAAAGGGCGACACTATTGGCATTGTAGCTGGTGCCAGAGTTGTCTGTTGTCACGAAAGCTGACCTGAGCGCACAATAACAACTTCATCTATACACACACACACATTGCGTTGAATCAAGAGCGGGATATGACGTGACTTGAGTTAGTCATTTACTCGTTCCCGCAAACAATCCCAGAACACAACATCCGGATTCAAGGGACCAAGAACACCACAAGACTTCACAGTTAAGCTTTCCCAAGACACAACACTAGAAGGGAACAACGATTGGCCAATTCTAATGTTCAAGTCTGCTGCATTTTCTTTGACTTTAATGGAGGCTCAACCCCAAACAAAGTTGGGTTGATTGAATTGCAGGAGGTATGGACCAAGACGGGAAATGACACCAAAAAAATAAGGCTGGGTGCTTCTTTACTTTGAAAGTTCCGCCCACTAAGCCCTTCCATGTGGAGGCCATCTGTAGGCCATCGCTCTTAGGTTGGATGCCATCGCTACTAGGGTGGAGGCCATTGCTATTTGGTTAGTAGCGTCTTTGTTTTATTCTTTGATGGGGTTCTCAGTTCCTCACTGGCAGCACTTGGCAACAGATTCACACAGGTCGATATGCCTGCGCGCGAGGCAATGCTTCAGCATGTTAAGGCAAACGATCCCAACAGTGGCAAGCAACCTTTCAAGGGAACACTATTCCGCATACTGAGCTACCAGCATGTCCTTTGAAGTTGCAAAAACATTCAAGCTGGAACTTTCTTCCATCGTCGACCATTAGAAAGGTTTCAAACGAAAACATTTGCGCCGCCCCAAAATTCTTCCTTTGGCTTGCTCTCGCTTACCCTCCTGATGTCCAAGCTGAAATCTCAAAAAGGATTTGCTTCGGCTCTTTCTTCCAGGCCTGGACCCCACTGCACCCCACTGGGCCCCACTGGGCCCCAAAACACCCGAGTGAACACTCGTCCCGTTCGTTGCCTCATGCCGAGTGCCCCAAAGGCCCAAATGATGTGACTCAGCTGGGGCGGAGTGAACTTTGAGCACCGCTGCGACACCTGCGACTCAGCTGTGCATGAACAGGTTTGTCCGGCATCAAACTCCATAAAAAAATGACTCAAAGTATGTCTTAATGCTCCATAAATTCCAGTACTCAAATTGGGTGTCCACATTTACTTAACTTTTCTGACACCAGAAAAAGAAAAAGGACCAGTAACTAATCCACCTAAGTCAGCAAGCGATGAACATTAAACAGTCAACAATTGCAGTTGTGACTCAACAGGCTCATGTTGCAAACTCGCATGGTTGGACTTAAACAGGACGTTTCCCCGTGCTATAAGTGGCGATGACAGCGCCTTTGATCCGATCTCGAGCATTAATTGCAGGTCTTTCCTCAGTTGCATTACTTGTTACTAGTAGAGATTCTTGTTACTAGTACTAATGCCAGGAGCTACTAGCAGCGTCCTTGCTACTAGTAGCGATCGATGCCCTTTGTTTCTAGTAGCGTCAGGGCATGGGTCTTTTCAGCAAATCAATTGATGGCCAAAGTATGTCTGATCCTTCATTCTCAGTCACAGTCTGATTGCTCACAGCACACGCCCACGTTAGCATGGTGATCTCAGCTGCTTTGAAGCCTGAGTGCATTTGCAGCACCACACAACATGAATGCCATCCATAAGCGATGGCCTCCAATCTGGTTCACTGCTTCCTGCGCCAAGCGCCTGACAGGGTGGGCAAACTCGATGGCAACAAGCCTACAGTATCCAGGTTCACACCTCATGATAGGTTCTCGCACGAGGTGGCTCTTCGCAAGCGCCCAAGCCTCAGGCTGTTGGTCCTTGTATTCTTGCAACCAACATGTGTTGCAAAGAAATCCGCCGATGAATATAGTGCAAAAATATGCAAGGCATAGCTACTTGTAAGAATGCTACTAGTAACAAGTGCATCGCTACTAGGAACAAGTGCCTTACTAGAAGTAACAAGAAGCTACTAGAAACAAGTGCATCGCTTCTAGTAACAAGTGCCTTACGAGTAGTAACAAGAAGCTATTAGTAACAAGTGCATCGTTTCTAGTAACAAATGCCTTACTAGTAGTAACAAGAAGCTATTAGTAACAAGTGCATCGCTTCTAGTAACAAGTGCCTTACTAGTAGTAACAACAAGCTATTAGTAACAAGTGCATCGCTTCTAGTAACAAGTGCCTTACTAGTAGTAACAAGAAGCTACTAGTAACAAGTGCATCGCTTCTAGTAACAAGTGCCTTACTAGTAGTAACATGAAGCTATTAGTAACAAGTGCCTCGCTTCTAGTAACAAGTGCCTTACTAGTAGTAACAATAAGCTATTAGTAACAAGTGCATCGCTTCTAGTAACAAGTGCCTTACTAGTAGAAACAAGAGGCTATTACT